CTGGTATCTGGGAGAGAAGGGTCCCTGATAAAAGGGTCGGAAGGATCCCCTTCGAAAGGACTGGGGGTTTCTGGGATCTGATCTTCGAGCGAGGGAAGGAAGGAATTTCTTCTTGTTGTGGGTTTCAATTAACAATGGATCTAGGGAAGGGCCAAACAGTTTGTCTCTCACTATGGGTGAGGAAGCCAGCTTGTATTTATGTTTAGAGTCTGCTTGCCAGTGCCTTAGCTATAGCAAGTGACGTGCTGTGACGTGAGATGTGATGACCCTCGCTGAAAACTTGACAGCGTGGTATGTGGCATCAGCGGAGAATTCAGCGGCAGCTGTGAGTTTGGCGATGACTTGTTGCGCCCTAATGTTGGAAGTGGGGACATGTTGCTTCAAAAGGCGAAGCCATCTAAGAGATGACCGCGTGAAAAAGGAGGCGGCCGTAGCAGATCTGATAGCCCATGCGTCAGATTGATGCGCTCTGCGCAGGGCTAGCTCGGCCCGTTTTTCCTCTGGTTTTAAGACCTCCAGCGCGTCGCTGGAAATAGAGGAGGACGCTAAACCCACTATAGGTTCGTCTACCTCAGGGGTACTGAGCAGTTTTGAAAAATCGGGTTCCAGGTTGAAATATTTCCTATCGTAGCCCGTTGGGGCTGAGTACACCGCTGCAGAAGCCCACTGCTTCTGCACCAGGTCAGAAAACATGGGTGGGACTGGGATGACCTCTGCCTCAACAACCGGTTGGTTGAAGATCAGGTCCTCTGGCCCCTCCTCTGAGGGGACAGGGGTGTCAGATGGTGATTGCTTGCTTAGGCGTGCGGTGTTCTTTGCCTTAAACAGTAGGGATTTGAAGAGCTGTGGCTGAAATAAGCCCGTAAAAACGGGCTGGTCAGGGATAAGCCCTTCGTCCTCGGACATTTCCCCCTCTAAGGGGTCTGCCTCTGACAGGGGCTCGCTATCCTGCATCGACCCCAATTCGGACTCGTCTGGTTGCATTACTTCCTCCTCCTCCTCCTCCTCCCACCCTTGGAAGGGGTTCTCCCCCTGTAAAAATACCTGGGTCTGGTGTTGGTCTGACCTGGGCAAGGACCTCAGAGATTGTGACTCTAGGTCAGGGACCCCGGGATAATGTCTGGGCATGGCTGCTTGTTGAAGCCCGGCCGCGATCCCCTGGCAAATGGCCAGCTCCATCCAGGCTCTTATTCTTTCCGGGACCTCCTCAATAAGAGTTTCATCCTGGCGCAGCAGCTGTTGGAGTGAAGGTGGCCTCTGGAGCCCTCCTGGCTCGTGTCACAGGAACTTGGATCTGTTGTCCTTGTGGGGGTAAGCTGCGCCTGGATGAGAAGGAGAGATCTGGGGGAGGAGGGGTGTGTGAAGTAGACTGACTGGAGGATGGGAAGCCCTGAGGCACAGGGTGTGCTTCCCTGGTACGCTTGGCAATCTCTCTTTCTAAGGCCTTATGGCACCTTAAGGCGTCCTTTTCTGAGGCTTGAGAAGTCTCTTTAGTCTGTTTGCGTTTATGGTGAGATTTGGCTTTTGCCTTCAAGGAAGGTGTCTGAGAAGTGTTACCATCTGCCATTCTGATTAAATTGTATTGCAGCAATTTGGATATCAGTAAGATAAGGCAGTTGGCACGCCCAGGGTCCGATCTGAGTCAAGAACGGTTACCCTGATAAGTACTTATGCCCCCCCTTTTTTTGATATCTATATATATGTATATATATAATGAGTCGTATCTCAGTTATAATATTTTATAGCATTAAAATATTATACTGTCAAATAATGTATTAATATTGATGATTAATAAACTTGTGATAAATATTATAATATTCCTGTTAAAGTTGTGTTATTGCTCCTAAGAGCAGAAATATATATAATAGCTTCCAATATTATTGAGAAGAAAAATATTGAGATGAGATGAGCCCAATCAGCCAAATTCGAACGCCTAAGGCCTAGGGAGAGAAGTATAAGGGCCTTGCAGCAGCCTTCCTGCACAGGCAGACACAGGCCTAGGTGCCTGCTGCTGCGCCGCTGAGGGTTGAGCTGTGAGGGTTAGCCAACGATCTTTCAGTGAAGAGAATAACCTCGAGTGCACTGTAGCCAAAACGAGGGTAAATCAAAGCTCCGAGAACCCAACAAGGGTCCTGCTGCCTCCAATTTAAATACCTCACACAGTTTGAATGATAAAAGGCGCGCAGCCACGAGGTGGCAATCAAAAATGGCGTCCGCCAGCAAACTTTCTTGGCGCGCTCCTCCTCAGTGGCTTACCGCCAGAAAAACGAAGCCAAAGCTCTTAAATGAAGAGGCGGCCAGGGAAAGGAGAGATTGAAGCCTCTCTGCTTGAAATTCGGCGTTCGGGAGGGGGAAACAGCGATACGACTCAGGAATGAAAGAAAGGCAAGCCGCAAGCAAAAAAAGAGCGAAAGTAAACGAAGCGGCAATCGAGAACAGCAGAGGGAAAAGCTTTTCGGGTGGGGGGGGCGCGAAGCCGCGACAGAGCCTCCCGCTGCCATGGGGACGCAACGGCACTTCCCCAATCAACAGTTTAACGAAATTGAAAGGTTGTGAAGAGGCTAGGGAATACTAAAATCAAACCTGCTGTTCGCAATTGAGTTCCTGATTCGGCCAAGGATCGAATGAAAAAACACTGCCTGTCTCGCACAAGGCTGAGCAATAACTGGGGAACGCATGGAGGAGTCACATGGAGGAGGAGGAGCGTTCCTCAATTAAAGCTCAGCCTATGGATGCAGAGACTGAAGCACCTCCCACTACTGGATGCTCGGAGCAGCTCATAGGAGAACAGAGTGTTTAAAAAGGAGTTTGCACACAGAAACTTGTTGGAAGCAAATTGTGAGTTATCTTTTATTGTTGAGGCTTATCTGGGTTCCTGACATCTCCCCAACTGTATGTGTTTTGTTGGCCTTTGAAGTCTGCAATTCCTTATCCTGCCCTGTCCAGTTAATTGCTGCAGCGTGGTTTGTGTGGATTTTTATTTACAGTTTATATGTACTTTGTTTTCGGACTGAATTTCTTCTAATGAAAGACTGTTCTTGAGAGAGTTTTTTTCTCCAGCCGAAGATAACTGGACATTGGAGGCAAAGTTGGAGATATTAAAAGGACTTTTCTTACTTGACTGTGTTGCCTTTATGCCACACCCTGGGTCATCACACTATGACGACTCACAGGGGCCAAATGGCCCTGGTTGGGTAGATGTGGCTGAGTGGTCACAGCTGGGTCACTGTGACTAGATGGGCATGGCTGGCTGGGCGTCGCCACTCAACACTACTTAGTGGGCACAGTTGACTTGGGATGGCTGAGTTGGGACATAACAAGTTGCACCAGCTAACTTGGCATGGGGACAATTTGGTGCCCCAAAAGCACCTTGCCTTTTCAAACTGCTGACAGCTAAGCGCATGCGTGCCCGTGCACATCCACCCATACTGCATTCTAAGTTTGGGGACTTTTATACACAGAGGACGGAGAGGACCTTTTCCCCAAATCTAGGCATGATTGGCAGTTTGCAAGCTCAGATGTGGATAAAAGTCTCCAAGCTTGGAATGGTGTTTGTGCATGTGTGCGCATGTGTGTGTGCATGTACAGCATGCCAAAGGAGACTTTTTCTCCCAATCACAGACATCGTTGGCATTTCCCTGTCCAGTGCCTATTCCCAGCAAAACAGGAAGCGGTAGATGCTGCTGCTACATGTGGAAGTACAGAGGAGAAAGTTTGCAGGAAGCAATTTCCTCCGAGACCAACTTCTACCTAGACAGATCTCTGGAGAGCAAGAGGAGGAGGCAGGGGAACAGCATTCCCCAGTCCAGCATGAGGGAGGCTGACCCTTCTCTAAAGGAAATTCCCATTTCCAATTGGGAAACCCCCTCCTCCAGAGATCTGTTAAGGAAGAAGTTGGTCTCAGAGGAAACAGGTTCCTGCAAATTTTCTCCTCCACGGTTTCCACATACAGCAGCATTGTCTTCGCCTCCTATGGGGGGCCAGGCAAGGTTGGAAGGGGGATCCATTGTCTCTAAGATCAGAGGAAGACAAGATCAGGTCAAGTGCCAAAGCCTAGTCCACCAGAGGAGCCTCGCCATCCCTATCAGGCCATGCGGAAGACCTCTGGACAGTGGCACAAGCTGCCCTGAGCCCTGGGCAGTGGAGGGCAAGTGCCCAGCCTGGCCACTGAACTCCCAGGACACTGGGACTCCACAGCCCAGCCCCATTTTCCCAAGGAGGCACCCAGCTGTGTTTACTTCCTTGAGGCTGCTGCTGCTGTGCTCACTCTCCTTGGCCAGATTGCTCATAGTGATTGTGGGAGGGAAAAGTGCATGGGTCAGAGGGAGGCCCTTTCCCTCTCCATATGAAGAGATCAGGCTTTGTAAGCAAAGCATCCAAAGAGACCACCAGGAGGGGCCAAGAGGCGGGGACAAGGAGATGGTGAGAGGATAGAAGGCTGCTGATGGCCAAATGCTAAGGCAGGACTTCCCTCAGACCCTTCCTCCCAGGAAGAAACAGGCCAGATGTGGCCCGTGAGCCTTGAATTTGACATGTCTGAACTAGGGTGAACGATGTATGCTTAATATCGACTCTATATGTGCTGTGCGCACTTTTTTATTATTTCTTTTTTGTCTCTAATTATCTTTCTTTTTACTGTCTTTGTAGTTGTTCATTTTATATGTAGCATCTTATCTTTGAAATAAATAGAAAAAATAAATAAATACATTCTAAAACAATTATATTTTATCAAATTTAAGAAGAATCTGCAAGAGAAAAAAGTTACATAACTGCAACATTTATGTGAATTGAGTCTGTTCTGATTTGTTAAAGATATTGGATTGAGCCAATACAAACAATTGATACAATCTGAATTTCCAGGGTGATTTGATTTCAATCATTAATTTGAATATATACATTGGGTTAGTTCACAAATCCGATTTCATTTAAAAACGTATTTTTATGGTCATTAATAGTAAAATAGTAAAATAGGGATAAGAAAACAAAGGCCAATCTCTCACTTTTGAAGGTTGCTGATTTTTAATCTCCTGGGAGTCCGAAGCAGAGTCTGATTTGGTGTCTCTGGAATTTGTTTTCTCCTTTTTTCGTTTCTGCTTCTTTTTCTTTTTCTTAGCTCCCAATTCTCCTCCTGGACTTCTGCAAAAAAGTACAAGACAACAATCTGCTGTAAGCTTTGAAAAGAGGAAGTAAGCCATGAGCAATTCCAAATGATACGTAGCCCCATTTTTACAGTGCTGGTATTCTGCAAGAGCCAAAATCTGATGCAATATTACTGATGTAGGGCTGTACACTTGGTGTATACATGGAGGTAGAAGTGTGTGTATTGAAAGGAAGGGGTATCTGCATCTATTTTTCCCTAAAACACCCCTTCTTCCAATTAAAAAAAAATTAAAGCAAGGCAAAATCCTTCAACTTCCCATCCCCTGCCCCCCCACTCAATATCATCGTGTCACTTTTGCAACGGACAGATGTTTAAAGAAGTAAATGTGCAGAGCAGACTGGAGGAAAAGCTAACAGCAAAAATACATTACTGTGTATTACTGTGTACTGTGTACCTTCTCACATATTTGCTTTTTATTGTTCTGAACTGTACACTGCCCAAAATTGACAAGAAATCAAGGAAAGAGATTAATTAATCAATTCAGGCCAACATGTGCTCCCAAGCCTATCTTGAGAGAGAGAGGGGAAGGGAGGGAGGGAGGGAGGGGGAGAGAGAGAGAGAGAGAGAGCGCTAACCTCTTGGAGCAGGATGACTTTCAGGGTCCCAAAGATTAATTTCTGGCGGAGTTTGGGGAGAGAAAGAAAGACTTTTGCTGCTTTCCTTGAGTGCAGCCAAAAGCAGAAGAAAGAAATGGAAAGAAGCAGCCCGGTGGCCACACAAGGCACATGGGGCGAGTGAGGCATGTTCCCCCCTCCGCGCTTTTCCCCCTTCCCTCACTACCTCATGTTGTTCGCAATGCAAGTGATGCAAGCCTTGTGTTCCCACGCAGCGTGGATTAATTGCTTTGGGGGTTGCTTTGGGGGCGACATTTCTCTGCGGACCACCAAAATTTTCTTGCAGACCACCATTGATATATGGAGAAGATCACATCCCGAGAAAAAAACAATTTACATTCTATTCAAATCCTCATCAAATATGGACACGAATTGATATGGCATGGATGAATGGGGAAATAGCAAATGAGATAAAAGGGATTGAAATTTTACCTAATGAATGGGCAGATCACAATCCAATTCAGATAATATGGAACGGTAGGGAAAAACCCAAGAAAAGATGGACGTTAAATACTCAGTTAATAAGAGAAAAAGAATACACCAACAAACTCAAGGAGGAATTAAATTATTTCTTAAAGGAAAATGATAATGGAGCAACTACAAAACAAAACATTTGGGATACAATGAAGGCAGTAATAAGAGGTAATCTCTTATAACGCCAAGAGGAATAAGGAAAAATACACCCAGCAAAACAAATTACAACAAAAAATTAAGGAATTAGAAACTCAATTACAGAGTACCCCAAAGGATTCAAAATTGCAAAATCAGATAATAATAACTAAACATAAATTGAATTTAATTGAACAAGAGAGAATGATTATAAATTTGAATACAACTAGACAAACTTATTTTGAGCATGCTAATAAGCCAGAGAGATGGCTATCATATAGACTAAAAAAAAGGAAAGAAAAAGAGATTGATATACCAGCTAATAGATGGAAAGGGGGATATACAACAGGAGATAGAACTGAAAAAAGAAATTGTCCATAAGTATTTTGAAGAGTTATATAAAAAGGAAGAAGTTAACGAAGATAGAATAAGAAACTATTTAGATGAAGTGAAGGATAAAGCAACTGGAGAAGAAATGGAAGGATTATTAAGACATTACTTGGTTTGAATTGAAATCAGCAATAGAGAACCAGAAAAACAATAAATCCCCGGGACCAGATGGGATTCCAGGGGAGCTGTACAAGGCAATAGCAGAACAAATAGGACCTCTTATGGTGGAAGTTTTTAATGATGTCTTATTGGCAGCCAGGATGCCGGACTCATGGAGGGGGGCATTGATTTCGCTGATCCCGAAGGAGGATTCGAATTGATATATATATATATATATAATTATAGGCTGATTTCACTGTTAAATACTGATTACAAAATATTCACTTCCATTATAGCAAGTAGACTAAAAAGAATGTTAAATGAGCATATATATGAAGATCAAAATGGATTTCTCCCGACCAGACAAATCAGGAACAACTTAAGAATAGTACTAGATGTCTTAGAATTTTACGAAGCCCACCCCGAAAAACAAATTGCACTTATGTTTTTAGATGCAGAGAAGGCCTTCGATAATTTAAATTGGCAATTTTTAATCCAAAAAATTTATAATATGAATTTAGGCACCAAATTTGAAAATATTATGACAACCATTTATGATACACAACAGGCTAATATTATAATAAACGGGGAATATACCCGCCCAATAAAAATAGAAAAAGGAGTCAGACAGGGCTGCCCACTCTCACCCCTGCTCTTCATATTATCATTAGAAACATTACTAATGCGAATTAGACAGAACCCAGACATAAAAGGATTAAAGGTTAAGAAAAAAGAATATAAGCTGCAAGCGTTTGTGGATGATATGATTTTTTTCATTGAGGAACCAATAGAAAGAGGACAAAAATTGATGAATGAATTAGAACAATTTGGAGCAGTAGCAGGACTTAAAATTAATAGAAAGAAAACAAAATTAATGACTAAAAATTTAACAGAAAAACAAAAAATAGAACTAGAAGAAGTTATGGGAATACAAGTGATAAAGAAAGTTAAATACTTAGGAATATGGTTGACAGCACATTGTAAGACACTTAAGGAAAATAATTATGATAAATTGAACAGGTAAAGAAGGATTTAGAAACATGGGGTAAGCTGCAACTTTCATTATTAGGCAGGATTGCTGCTATTAAAATGAATATTCTTCCAAAATTCCTATATATATTTCAGACGATCCCAATCAAAGTACACAATTTTTTTTTGAATAACTTAATAAAATAACTGTCAAATTTATCTGGCAAGGAAAAAAACCTAGAATAAATTTAAAGGCAATGCAGGATATGAAGAGCAGGGAGGGCTGGCACTTCCAAATTGGGAGTTGTATTATAGTGCAGCCTCTTTAGTATGGTTGAAGGAATGGGTGAATTTAACCAATAAGAGAATATTATTCTTAGAAGGCCATGACTTGCAGAGGGGGTGGCATGCTTTTTTATGGGATGTAGGGAAAACTTGCCAGAAATATTTCCACAGACACCTAATCAGAGACTCATTATTAACTAATTGGAAGAAAATACGGAAAAAACATTATTTAAAAATACCAATTTTGAATTTCAACAATGCAGGCGATAATTCACCCAAATAATCTGGATATCACTAAAATGATTAAATATAAGGACCTATTGGATGCACAAGGAAATTTGAAATCGCGGCAAGAACTTCAAGAGCAGGGACTAAAAATTGATCAGTGGGCATATCGTCAAATTCAAAGTAGATATAAACAGGACAAGAAAGAATTCGGAATTAACAATAAACTCCAGCAATTAGATAAAATTTTATTAGGATCAGGCAAAAAAAAATATAACGAAATTTTATAATTATTTATTAGAAGTAGAATTAGAAGAAGAAATTGTAAAAGGGAACATGATAGCCTGGAGTAGGAATATAGGACGTAGCATCACCATAACAGAATGGGAAAAGGTCTGGGGTAGAAATAATAAAATTACAAAATCGGTAGCATACAAAGAAAATGCCTATAAAATGTTTTATAGATGGCACCTTCCTCCTTCGAGATTAGCGAATAATATGAGTCCGAAATGCTGGAAATGCAAAAAAAAAGAGGGAACTTTTTTCCATATGTGGTGGTCCTGTACAGAAGCTCAAAAATATTAGCAGAAAATTAGCAATTGGCTGGAAGAAATGACAAGAGAACAGATCGAATTCAAAACAGAGTCCTTTCTGTTAGGGATCTTTGATAAACAAATATCAAAAAAAGTGAAATATATAATAATAAACATTTTGACAGCAGCCAGATTGGCTTTTGCACAATGTTGGAAGCAGCCTCATGTTCCATCAGAGGAGATGATCATTCAAAAAAAATTCAAGTTATGCAGAAATGGACAAATTAACTTTGGCATTAAAAAATAAAGACACTTCAATATACTACATCAGCTGGAACTGCTGGTACAAATGGATAGACCAAAAATAGACTTTACAAGGAAAAAGTTTATCTTTAATTAAATGATTTTTTTTTTTTTGCTCACCATACCAAATAGCAAGGATTGGCAAATAGGAAGTGCTACAGCAGCCATTATGCCAAATTTGCCAGTGGTCAAAAAAAAAGGTAAACTAATAATTTGTAATATAGTATTAAAAGAGAGTCAGTTTGTTCTAATGTTTAAGACATCGTGTTATAAACCAGGGACTGTGCGTTCTAGATATGCCTTAGCAATGGTGGGATTCAAATGATTTAACAACCAGTTCTCTGCCCTAATGAGTTCTTCCAACAGCCAGTTCGCCAACCTGAAAGTTAACAACCGGTTTTCTTGAAGTGGTGCAAACTGGCTGAATCCCACCACCGCGCCTTAGGCATGAAAGCCATCTGAATGACTTTGAACCATTCACTCTCTCTCAGCCTATGATGTCAGATTCAGACTCTAAGCCAGTCGATCAATTCCTCCTGTCATAACCAATGAATCAACACTGTTGATCTAAAAAAAAAAAAGCATATCTTGAAATTGTAGGAAAATGCTAGAAGAAAAAACACTTAAAATTAAATAGATCAAGATAGAATATGTACTAACAAAGCCCTGTATAATCTGTAAACAGAATAAAAATGTAATAGCTACTGCAATATACATTATATTTAGGACAGGACAACATACTTGAAGGTATATTAACACATCTGTATTTATAAATCTTTCATTTCTGGTATAGATAATATTATTTTATTTTTTATTTGGGTTAAATTTTCATTTTGTCTTCCTGATGGGAAGTAAATACTAACTATGCAATATTCTGTTGCACTAAAATGAATATGCATTAAAACAAAACACTGCATTTGAAAAAAGCAATATTCCACTCAGTCTGTT